GCCAAATTTGGCATATACGTGACGTAACGATGAATCTTCTTGATAGCCGATCATGCTAGAGACCGTTGTGTAGGTAATGGAAGTACTCTGCATTGTTCAAATATATACTAAGCGCACTTCTGGCTTTACAATTGAAACTGTAGAGCCTTCACACCAAATACACGAATATTTTTCATTTGTTTTGGCGTTTTTAGAAGCTTTGATACGTAATATGGAAATTCTGTCTTGTTTGCGAATTATTACCGAAGAGGTTAGCAGCAAAGTGAACCAAAAGCCAACTAAAAATAAAGTGATACTACTATTGTGGATTCAAGTCTACATTTTCAAAGCCGGCCGATGGGAGCCGCTTTGGAGCTTTGCTCCGATTTTCGCTCGGCAGCATACGACTCCTCCAAACCGCTAATTTAGGCAGAATTGACAATAGTACAATGTTATTTTCCTTAACCCCTGGTAGGGTAAAGCTGTTCTTGTCAGCAGTGCCCCCAACATGTTTGTCCTAGAAAAAAGACCAAAAACTCGCTCAAGTACGACGGAGTTTGTCCTAAAACCAACGAATAGGACCAAAATGACATGGAGTTTGTAAGGAGGATAGTTTAAGTGCTTATGTGCATATTGTATGATATAACATATCTACCTTAAAGAAGGGCTACTTTGGAGGCTTCGCTTGCATATTGATCTCTTTTTTTTGTCCTTAAATGTCAAAGTGTTGGGGTTAAGGAGTAAAGAATAGAAGCGCTCTACCATGGTGCCATCTGGAACATACGTTAATGAAGATATAGGTAGCATGGCACATGGCCATCGCAGATACCATCTTCCTACCACTTCCATTCACGTAGCCCTTGCAAACGTTTATCCAATCACAGCATTTCGTGCCATGGCATGTCAGGATAAGGTTCCATCCTAAGGAAGGAAGCTTACCACGAAAGTTCCGCCACCGGAATCTGCGGATCTAGGTTGAAGAACTTGCCCGTGCTCTCAGTGTTCAGCTTAGCAATTAGGCCGGTTATGGCCGCCACGCTGTCCTCGGGCTTCAGCGATGCCTTGCCCCGGGTCATATCCGTGTCCACGTATCCAGGGTGCACCGATACCACCACGATACCACTAGGCTGCAATTCAAACGCAAGCGATCGAGTGATCATGTTTAGCGCAGTCTTGGAGGACGCGTAGCCGTAAGCTGTCAGCTTGAAGAAATTTTCGGTGTCTTTAGTGAAGCTGCCAATGCTGCCGAGGGCCGAAGACAGCTGGACAACGAAGGCACCACCGTTGGTCTTCGCTGCCAGCTGCAGATTGGGTAGCAGCGCACGCGATAAGAGGAATGGCCCGACGGCATTCACCTCGAGCTGACGCATGAGCGTGTCTTTGGTGCAAGTCTTGAGCGCACTGGGGAGAGCGATACCAGCGTTGTTGATGGGCAGATCGATGGGCTGCCCCTCTAGCTGACGCGCTGCTTCGAGGATGGATGCCTCGTCGCTCGTATCCATTGCGATAATCTTGAATGGAGCAAGTGCTTTTAGCTGAGCAGAACAAAGCTCCTTGTTAGGAAGCTTAGGTCATTCGCTACCGATCCTACCGAATAAATCGGGTAGGATCGGTAGCGAATGACCTAAGCTCACCTTTTCGGTGTTGCTGTTACTGCGAGCCGTGCCGATGACATTTCAACCAGCTTTGACGTAGCTCTCAACGAAACCGAGACCGATGCCGCGAGTGCTGCCGGTAATGAGGATGGTCTTCTTAGCGGAGGCCATTGAAGTCGAGATGGTCAGGAAGAGCTTGTGAATTCGAAAGTGCTTTGAAAAGTGAGAGAAGCGAAAACACAACCGCGAAGTATGACGGGGAGATTAAAGGCTGATTCACATTAAGCTCATGTATTACCTTGAGGCTGAAGTGCTTCACGAACAATCGCACATTGTGATTGCCATGTCATAAGCGTAAACTTTGCTGTGATCACGGAATACATGTAGCACTACAGTACATGTAATGGCAAAAGCATTGTAATTTAAAAATATTTGTTTTTAATATTTTAAAATCCAATGTTTTATTCTCTGGATTTTTATGCTATAAAAATGATATATTATATCATTTTTGAGCTAATATCGAAGTTCTCTTAAACTTAAAGTATGTGAAACCTTAAGTCAGAATGGGGGACCGTTGTAGAACGGAATTCAAGCAGCTTAGTTTGTAGCCAAGTTACTCTTCGCAAGAAGGCACATGAAGAGCTCGGGAACGTTAGCTGCTGACGAAACTGACGACAGTATACAGGGGCTTAGAGACAAATGCGACTCTAGCTTATTAAGCAATGTAAGCTGGCATCAACAGAGAGTAAAAATATGTCGTATTATGGCCAAATAATCTCATATCACTATCGAACATGAAGGCGCTATCAATACAGAGGATCGTCTGTACCTGGTACACGCTGCGACCGTTATTCACACGACCGAAAAAATACACTAACGAGGCGCTTGTTCGTTTGGTAAATTGCCTTCTTTTACTGAACGCTAACGTAATACCAGCGGGGTACATACGAAAACAGTTTCAGCCAAACTGGGCCCCTCCTGGGCTTCTCGAACTACAAGTTTTTCGCTTATTAAACGTCCACTGAAAGCGGGAGTAGATTTTTAAAACCTAGCGAATGTTTATCAAAGTGTGATCATTTAAAATTTATTATTATTAGTCACTCGAGGCTGTTCATAGTTTGTCACCAGCATTCTCAGGTCAGTTTACCGGCGTCCGTAACAGGCGATAACTCGTAGTTTTTACTCTGTTCCTGCTCGTTTTAGGCAATCTCTCTTGCTGCCCACTCACTTTGCAATTACCCTGTTGTTTACGTGTCTTCGCATCCCCAGCCAGCCCTATATAAGTGGGTGATGGCGCCCAAGATTCGCAAGACTGGCATTCTCTCCCGTGCTTGCTCACTTCTGGACGGGTGTGGGAAAGGTCTGCAAAATAGCAAATGGCCACGAAAGAGTACTACCCGTACTTTTCATAATGAAATTAAAATCCATACTATCGGAGTTTTGAGAAAATAGTACCTCGAAGTAAGAGTAATTAAATGACTAAAGTCACATTTTATTATTTTATAGAGGAATTACTAAAAGGAGTTGTACCCAATATAAGGTGCGTACGACACCAGATGACGGGTGGCCGTCGCTGACCGCAAAGTGGTTTGCGATGGATTTTATCAATTCACAGCCCAACACTGTATCGCGTACTCCTTCGCCCAATAATGCCCCACCCACGTCGTGAAACAGGGTTACAAATGAGCAGCAACAACAGATATGCCGCCACAAAGCCGACAAATTATCCTTTAGCCATATCGCAACCGTTCCGACACCCTACCCCTTTCCGACACTTTCCGACCGTTCGGACCCAGGAGAAAGTAAAGACCAAAACTTATAAACATCATATAGCTTATTCGATAAAGTGCGTCTCTAAAATTGCTCTGGGTCAGCTTTCGTGGGGCGCTCACAGCCACAAGAAAATGGCCTCTAGAGGCCTCTGGGCCGAGAAATCGGCTATTTTACGTTTGCATGCATATTTGGCCTCAGAGCAATGTGCACCGGAGGCCGCAAATATATTTGTAAGGGCGGCAACAGGCAAAGGGGGCCACTAATGAGAGCACATGCAGTCAACGTGAACGTTACCCATTGGCCACCTTTATTAGCCAATAAATGGCTGCTCGCCAAATATTGCTTGGTATCAGCCAATAGGCAGTTGGCACCTGTCTTCGTACAGACACGCACCAATGCGTGGCTGTAGAGGCGCCGACGGGGGCCAAAACAGCTCATTCTCCTTTTTTCAGCGGCTACTGAGCAGAGCTCCGACCTCTACCACCACAGTGCCGTAGCTCAAGAGAGAGCCAGGGGTTCGCCCCTGAGGTGCCCGTTCAAGTCGGGCCGGCGCTATCCGGTGGGGGTCTGATGCTTGTAATGCTGAAGCAGGACGACGCTAGGACTGAACGGCGGTGTCGCTGGGAAACGCTGCTGCCACTTACAGACGCTTGTGGTTACGTGTGATTCTGCTGCGGGTACGCTTCATGTGGTTTGGAGTGTGCTGTGTTGTGGGTGCGTTTTGCGTGGGATGTTCGTGTGTTCTACGTGCTGCGTGACATGTACGTGCTGCTGGAGCGAGATGGCGCTGGACTACGCTGGCACGGATGGACGGCGGAAGGCGCTGGGGCTGAGGCCACGACGCCGTCGCTGTTTGGTGAGCTGCTGCTGTTGCTGCTGCTGGGCCGACGCTGGAGCGAGTTCATGATGCCTGCCCACGGCCCGAATGTACAGCTGCATGTGTCAAAGCATGTGTGTATACAGTGTACTAAAAAACGCAATATGTATTTGCTTGGTTTGAAACTTACACGTGGCCTGCTACTGCGAGGATGTCTTGTGTGTCAATTGGTGCAGGATCGACAATTCTTCCAATCGCAAGCAGCCGCTTGTACGCAGCGATGTGCTTGTCCAAGATACCATCCTTGTGGAGTGGGCGCAGCGCGCGCAGGACGCTTCCAGATCCCTTCGCGTTTGTGCCACGCGCCTTCAAGAAGGCAATCACGGCTTCTTCCGCGCGGCGGCCGGCGCCGAGGACTTGGTCTCGGTAGTCCTTCGCCTTCGTGTCCAGCTTGAAACCTTGCTCGAGGAATACTTTCATGAAAGCGACGACGTGGCGCGACTCTGACTTTTTCTGGCGGTCGGTAGAGCTCCAAACGGGTGGCACCTTCGTGTACCACTCGTACCATGTGGTCGACAGGTGCGTCACTTGCTTCTTCCTGCGTTTGGTCTTGGGATCTTGATCTGACGTTGCGTCCGCTTGTTCACGCAGCACCTGTGTAGCTTGTGTGCTTGTACTATTTAGCATAGCAGCTTCGACGATTGTCAAGCGAGCGCTCAACGTGCGATTCATCGCGATAAGCTCTTTAATGACAGCGCTGTGATGACATCCTCTACATCCTGTTGCCTCATCTTGTTGCTTGTTGTTGCGATCAAAGGTTGTCGACGGTGATCTGTTCAGGGCCGATGACCAGGCGATCATGTCGGCATGAGAAATTCCAGACGCGTCCAAGCTCTCCTCCACGCGAAGCACGATCGGCGCAGAAGGAGACAGCGCCTTCAGCTGAGGGTAGTACTTGACCAGGTAAGCGGTAAGTACAGCAAAAACCTTACCACTAACGTTGAACCGGGGGTCTTACAATCCTGAGCATGAACTGTACAGGATGTCTTGTAGGCGCGCGAGTTGCTCCTGCGTGGAGTGATCCAAGACCTCAACGTCCACCACTTTTGGCACATCGTCGACACTCCACCCGCTCAGTACACGCGCGACCTTGCGGTCCTCCTGCGGTGTGTTGAACACATACGCGAAGCCTTTGTTTACCTTGCTCATGTCCCAGGCGCCCCGGTCGAAGATCCACTGTGGAGCAAGCTTCTCGTCCGCATTCGCATGTTGAGCGCCGCCGCGACGGAAGGAGTGCGAAGAGAGGGCTTCTGACGCCCCAGCGGGGTTTGAGACGCGCTTGAGGAGGCGGTTCACGTACGCTTGGACTCCATCTTCCCCGCGCGTAGTCTCCCTTGGTCGGGACGGCGTCGACAAGCTTGGGCCTGGAACCACTGAGGGTGCTGCAGCAGCGGCAGCGTCTAGCAGACGTGATGCGGGTGGTGTGCCAGCAGGCACGGACGAGCATAAGCCTGCGAGTGCAACCATCAAAGAGGCCCGGGTCCGCTTCCAGTAATTCTGCTAGCGGAAGTCCGGGGGCGTTGGCGGTGGCTTCAACGGGAACAAGGTCTGGTAGCTGGCTGAGCAGCGAGCCGCATGGTGTATCCTGCGTTGCCAGCGCCACAGCCAACGCGTGGATTGGGCAAGTAAGGAAGTCCGTCTTGTCTGGCACGAGCGTTAGTCCCTGCTCCTCGGCGGTCTTGACGCGCAGCAGACGCACGTAGAAGACACCGTCAGCTGAAACTGACACGTACTGCTTTTTGATGTATCCCAGGTCCGACGATCGCCCGAAGCAGTGCCACATCAGGCACGCGAGTGCAGCATCCTGGTAGTCGGCTTTCACGCGAGCGTTGCTGTAGACATATTGTGTAAGTGCATGCAGGTCCTCCTCCCATATAGCAACCCGGTGCTTGGAGACGAAATCCCGGAACGCACGAACGAATACCCCGAGTCGCCCACGCACATCACCCCTGAAGCTAACCGGATCCACCGGTGTGGTGACCAGCGTATCCCACGGGGCAGCACTTGTCAGTTCTTCCACGAGAGGTCTGGTGACGAGCGAATCCAGGTACCCGGCCCTCGGGATGGCGTCCGCCGTCCGAGGGAATATCCATTCAGCTCGAAAAGGCAACTCAGGTTCATTGAGATGACCGCGACCCGGTTCAACTTCTTAGCGGACCAAGG